TTGGTTGCAGCCGTCATTGTTGTTTGGCGGGTCCAGGCTGGGGATTCGAACCCGCCACCTTAGGTGTACGTGGCTGGCGCCTTAGCCGGGTGAGCTATAGGCGCCGAGCTAGTACGTTGGATTCTTGCTTGTACTTCCCAAAGAGAAATTCAAATACCACCAATCAGAAGATGATTTTATTTTTATTTACTTTGCAGTTTTTGGCCGGGGCTGGGTTTGAACCTACCACCTCCAGCATATAAGGCCAGCGCCCTACTCTCTTGAGCCACAGGCGCCACCCCAAATTCTTTTTTTTTTCTTTTCTGAAGATGATTTTAAATGTCATACGGACAAATATGCTTAGTATTTAGATAATTGTGTGTTTAAAGATTATCCTGTGCTTATAGCTACAAAGACCATTTTTCTATTGAGGATAGCCGTATCCAGTTAAAAAAGAAGTTCTCAGAGAACAGGGTCCTTGTCTCGGTCATGTTTGTCTCCTCCAAAGAGCCCCCTGTAGCTTGTAGCCTGTGGGAGGAATGAGGCTCCATAAATCTGCATGGAAAAGAAGACTGAAAATAAAACCGGCATTTACCTTCTTGAGTAGAGCTAGTATTTCAGAGTAATATGAAAAAAACCCATAGTAGTAATTCCTTTTTTAAAAAATTTCCATTACTATAACAGTACATACAATTAAATTACATTATTTGTGTTTGTAAGGTAAAGTCTGAGTTGTAGTTGAGTCCTGTGAGGAAGTGTGCCATATACCATGGGATTAATTTCAGTTTTTGTTTAAAATTGAGCTATATTATGAAAAACAAATGGATGTCTTTTTTTTTAATTTTAATTTTTTATTAAATGATAGCTGTATACATTAATGCAAACATGGGGTACAGTGTAGTGTTTTCATATACAATTTGAAATATTTTCATCAAACTGGTTAACATAGACTTTGTGTCATTTACTTAGTTATTGTGTTAAAACATTTATACTCTAGTTCTAGAAAAGTGCACTTGTACCCTTGTTAGACAGACCATACAGGTGATCTTTCCAGTCACCCTACAAATGGATATCTTCAAAGTATAAAATCATTTGGCTTTATGTTCAACCTTTGCACCACGAGTTTGCATGAAACTGCTAGTTTGAATGAAAGAAATCTGCACCTTGCTGCTTTGATTAATCTGACCTAGGATCTTAGTTCCTTTAACTCTTAATCCCTAATGCTGTTCTTTTAATGGAGGAGAGGGCTGATTTCATACAGAGCTCTGAGTCATTATAGCTTATTAAATCTTGAACCAGAATAATACCCCTTGGCATAAGATTGTAGATTTAAAAGATGAAAATCTTTCTCAACTTTGGGCCTATGTCTTGTATCTTCTTCATTTTCTAAATGAATTTCAGAGAAGCAAACTAAATAGTAAAAATGTATTTGTTCACCTCCAAAATGGTTTTTTAGTAAGTCAGACATTTTTATAAAAATAAACATTCTAAAGCAATTTTTCTCATGGAGTGTGAAATCTGGTCCTGACTTAATTGTTCTTTAAAATAAAAATACAGAGGGTTCAGCACCCATAGCTCAGTGACTAGGGCACCAGCCATATACACTGGAGCTGGCGGGTTTGAATCCAGCCCAGGTTGTCAAACAACAATGACAACTACAACCAAAAAATAGCTGGGCGTTGTGGCAGGTGCCTGTGGTCCCAACTACTTGGGAGGTTGAGGCAAGAAAATCACATAAGCCCAAGAGTTTAAGGTTGCTGTGAGCTGTGACACCATAGCACTCTACCCAGGGTGACAGCTTGAGACTCTGTCTCAAAAAATAAATAAATAAAATAAAATAAAAATACACAGAAACAGAAAATCTGTTTCCCATTTGAAAGGAGAGTCAGTAAGCTATTCTGGCTCAAAAGGAGGGCTCTGGATTTAGACAACTTGTGCCTGACTCTTGGCTCAGCCGCTGACCAGTGTACCTTGGTCAGTGTGTTCAAGCTTCTGTGAAGCTCCATCTTATTATCTGTAGAATGGGAATAGCCATACTACCCACTTTATAGAAGTGATATATTGAAATGAATTAACGTGCAAATATCATGAAAACAGTGCCTGACACATAGGAATACTCCACAGATTTGACTGCTGCCTTTTACTGTGTTTCCATGCAGTGCTCAAATACAAGTTCACTATAACAACAAGCTGAGTGACAAAGATGTAAGGCATTGATTCTGAGCAATCATTAGAAAAGTTTTCCAAAATTTTTCAACAATGCACTAACCAAGAATTGTCTTTTTACAGATAATCAAAAATATATCTTCTCAAGTTATCAAAACATAATGGGAAATGTGCTGTTGCTTTTGCTCCTAGTAAAAGGCTCTTTTTTAAAGAAATTTTTCCAAATTCTTTCCCCAGATGGGACAGCGGTGTAGGATCTCCTGTGTCTGTGGGGAGAGCTGCTGGGGTAAGTAACCAGAGGATTTATGCCAAGAAATTAAAAATTTACCTCATTCCAGGTTGGTCCCTGTTTAAGTAGGATTACCCTTGGCTCAGTTTTAAATTTACTTTAGAAGCTAAGATTTCAACTCAAGAGTTCAAAGTTTCCCAGTCGTGGTTGGTTTCCTGTTGGCTCTGGTCCTAAAACGCTCGAGCTGAGCAGACCAGGCTCTGCCGGGAAGAAGGGAGCCATGGTGTTTCCCCTTGGCCATCGGTGTCCCTTCTGGACAGCCCCGAGGGCTGCAGGGGAAGAGACCGGAGGCAGCCACAGCCACTCCTGCTAGTCAGCTGGGTCTGGACTGGACCCTTCATGAGCTTTGTGCTGACCCTTGTGTTTAAAGAGGAAGCCACTGTCAGGTGAGAGGTTGGAACGGATCTGCCCAAGGGGACGGGCCCTGCATGACCCTCCCTCAAAGGCTGAAATGTAAGTTTATCCCAGTCTTCACAAGCTTCTGGGAGGGAGAGGCTTTGAGCTTCCTGTGTCTGCTTTTCCCCGGTTGTAACTTTTGATCTGTACTGCCTGTGTCTTTCTGTGTAACCAACTCATGTGTTTGGGGATGAAAAAAAGGGAGTGTTCTGGAAGGTACCTGGGAGTGAGAAGGAGAGCGAGGTATTCACTGATCTATTGACTGGTCTGAGCACCGCTACCTGCACTCCCTCCTTGTCTCACAAAAACCCTGGGGGTGGAATTCTGATGAGGAGCAGTGTGAATACAGTTACTTATCTACCTCTTCTTGCTGAATTTAACACCAAACCCTATTTCTCTCTGCTGTATGCTTCAGCCCCAACCACGATGCTGGTACCAACAGCTGACACACTCTAATGGAGAATTTATTCACATAGACCCTTTCACTCACTCAATCCCTAGAGATTGTCTATGAAGTAGGTCCCATTAGTGCTCCTATTTATTTAATTCATTTTTTGAGAGTGGCCCTCTGTAGAGTGCTGTGACATCATAGCTCACAGCAACCTCAATCTCTTGGGCTTGAGTGATCCTCTTACCTCAGCCTCCTGATAACAGGGACTGCAGGCACCTGCCACAATGCCCGGCTAGTTTTTCTTTTTTTTTAGAAACAGGGTCTGCTCCTGCTCAGGCTGTTCTCGAACTCCTGAACTCAAGCATTCCACCTGCCTCAACCTCTCAGAATGCTAGGATTACAGGCATGAGCCACCAGGCCTGGCCGACTGTTCCCTTTTAAAAATGAAGATGCCGAGGTTTAGAGAATTTGAAAATTATGTTCAAGGTCACACTGGTAAATGGTAGACTCCTGACTACCCTGGTCTCTAACCTTCGCAACCAGAAGTCAGTAATGCCTACAGTTCACCAGCCCTCCAGCCCTCTTTCATTTGACCGGAGGGGCTCTCTACCTGCAGAGACTCAGCAGTGGACAAGTGGCCCATCCTCTACTGGCAGCTTTGTTCTCCAGGAAGACGGCCCAGCTGCAGGACACTCGTGTACTCTCGGTTTCCCCAGCCTGACCATCCTCTGCTGTGTTAAGCAGAAAAGGAATGAAAAGAGAAATGCAAATGCCTACGGCCAATTTGGAGTTCTCAGGATTTGAAAGTCCAGTCAGAGGATCCTAAGACCTCTTTCTTTGACACCCTGATTGCCACTTGTGTGTAACCGCCTCACTGCTCAGGTCGTGAGAATCTAAAACAGAAGAGCTGGGCAAATAAGTGAAACTCAAGCCAGTGATTGTTGCTTGCAGTTAACAGCTATTATAAAAACTAGGAAAGAGACAACAATGAAAGTCCTGTGTAATACAAGAGTTCCGCAGGATAGGGATTTTCATTATTTCTTCATGGAAGTCCTATCCCTTTAGCCCCACAGAGAGCTGGAAGTTGACCGTTGATGCCACAGGGCTTCTTGCCAATATTTTCACTTCCCATCACTTGGCTGGCAGCCTGGTGGGAACAGCACAAGGCGGTCCCATCGTTTTGTGGGAGGTTGTACTACATTATTGGATGAGCTTCCAGTTAGACAAGGAGGAGGCGTCTATTTCAACATCAGCATACACTTAAAAGAAGCAAAGGGTTTCAGAAAACAGAATGTTTAGAGCTCGAGAAAAATGTAGAGATCGTCTAGCCTCGAGTTTCTTTCAACCTCAGCACAATTGACATTTTGGACTAAATAGCACTCTGTGGTGGGGCGGGGGTGTTGGGTATATTGTATGAAGTTTGACAGCATGCCCGAGCTACCTGGCGACTCCTTACATCTGAATGGATTCTGGATGGGCCTCCTGTAGATGAAGCTGCCGGCTCTGTACCCCTAGGATCACCCTCCAGTGTGGCACTTACCACACTGGCTTTTCCCCTGACTTGGTGTGAACTCCCTAAGGCAGGGCCTGTGTCACACTCACCTGTGTGTCCCCACGCTCTGGCACAGCCTGAGTACTCAGTAACTGGAAGAAGAAATTACTGGGTGGTTTTAAGTGGCAGATGTACTGGTGGACGCAACTTATGCAGGAACAGACACAGCAGGAATTTAGGAACACCCTGAAAGTTTTATTTGCTGACTATACTGAGGCAGTTGACGGCGCTGACAGCTGCCCTGCTGGTCTGGCCGCCTGAGCAGGCCTCAGATACCCTAAGGTTGCTCCAGGAAGGAAGGATCGTTTGTCTGCTCATGTCAGAATTGCAAACAGTACCAGTCATTAGAGTTGTGTAAAGGCCTCATTTTACTCAGCCTACTTTATGTACCAAGTTTAAGAATGGGCTACAAGCATCAGCAGGAGGTCTCTAAGAAATTCTCTGGAACCAGGAAAGAAAGGAACAGCCAACAGTAAGGACTAACGCAGGGCTAAACCAAATTCTAAATGTTTCACAAGTATCAATTCACTTAATCCTCACGCCTGTGGGTATGTTTTGTTGTTGTTGTTATTGTTGCTGTTATTTTAATTTTACCAAGAGAGAAACTAAGGTACAAAGAGGTTAAGTAACTTTTCCAAAAGAAGTATGGAGTATTCTCTAAGAAGTAAAAGTTGACCTTCCATTTGATCCTGCAATCCCATCACTGGGTATCTCCCCAGAAGAACAAAAATCATTTTACCACAAAGACATTTGTACCAGAACGTTTATTGTAGTTCATTTCATAATTGCCAAGTCATGGAAGCAACCCTAATGCCCATCAACCCATGAATGGACTAACAAACTTTCAATTCCTAGATGGAATTAAAACATATTCTTCTAGTAAAGTATCTCAGGAATGGAAAATAAAATATCCAATGTACTCAATATTAATATTAAACCAATATAAAAATAATTATACAACCACATGAATGATAATGTGAGGGTGCTCAGCACGCCCCCTGGTGAAGGGCTCTTCTACAACTTGAACTTTGTCTTGGAAGTGAGAACAATGTAACCTAAAAATTTGTGCCCTCATATTAATTCAAAATTTTAAAAATAGTAACTTGCCCACAGTCATATAGCTATTAATGGGCAGAGCCTAGATTTGAACCTATTGGAGTCCTAATTTTCAGTCTTCTGTGTCTTAATTTCTGTAATAATATGTACTAGAAATGTTAAATAGTTTCCTATGTTGGTATATCGTAAATCACTTTATAAATACATGCAGCGTATTATGCCACATGTAATGTTGAGGAAGAAATGTTGAAGACAAAGTTCCCCTCTTTGGAGAGTTTACCGTCTAACTGAGGATACGTATATTAGTAAAATAACAGTAAAAAACAACATAATGGCAAGAACAGGGTTTGGGATGAGATCACAGGAACACCGTATATTACTCATGTGACTGAAGTAGGCACTTACAGGAGATAACAGTTTTCTCATCTATAATGTGGGAATGATCTATAATTCACAAATTTGTTATAAGGATCCAGTGAGAGAATGTTTTAAAAAGTGTATTGAAAACTGAATAAGTGAGTAACTTTGTTCAAATATAAGAAAAATAGTAGCAAATGCCTGTACAAAAAAAAAAAAATGTGTTTATAAGAAGGAAACGTCACTGTGGAAAGAGTGGTCTTGTCTCTCAGATCGGAGATGCCGGGCTGGGCGCTCAGGAGAATACTATGCTTTGTTGGTCATTTAGAGGCTGTCCACTTTTGGGGTCCTGATTTATTTGTCTTTGAATCTCTGGTTTCCTAGATCAGAGCAGGTACTGAAACTTGTGGTAGGGAGGAAAGGACGAAGGCTCATGGTAATGCACGAGTGGAAAGAATGTAAATAACTTCCAGCCGGGCGCGGTGGCTCACACCTATAATCCTAGCACTTGGGAGGTTGAGGCTCGTGGATTCCCTGAGCTCACAAGTTTGAGACCAGCCTGAGCAAGAGTGAGACCCCGTGTCTAAAAATAGCCAGGCCTTGTGACAGGTGCCTGTAATCCCAGCTACTTGGGAGGCTGAGGCAAGAGGGTCACTTGAGCCCAAGAGTTTGAGGTGTCTTTGAGCTGTGATGCCACAGCACTGTACCCAGGGCGACAAAGTGAGACTCTGCCTCAAAAAAAAAAAGTGTAAACAACTTCCAATATAATCTAATAAGTAAAATACTAGAGAACAGATACTACGGGAATTAATTTTTCCTGGGAGAAGTGGAGAAGGACTTACAGGGATGGGGATGAATGAACTGGACTCTGAAGGACAAGCTGCTGTTTTCCAGGAGAAAAAGAGGATGAAGCACAAAAATCAGGAGCAGAGACCCAGAGGCTGAGAAGTACATGACATTGGGGGGAACTGTGTGTAGTGAGCTTGGGGCGCAAGACAGGTGAACAGAGAGAGGAGAAAAGGTTTATATCAAGTGTTGGAAAAGGATTTTTTTTTTTTGAGACAAAGTCTGACTTTCATGCCCCCATAGAGTGCTGTGACATCATAGTTCACAGCAACATCAAACTCTTGGGCTCAAGCAATCCTCTTTCCTCAGCCTCCTGAGTAGCTGCAACTACAGACACCTGCCACGATGCCCTGCTATTTTTTAGAGACAGAGTCTCGCTCTAGCTCAAGCTGGTCTAGAACTTTTGAGTTCATGTGATCCACCTGCTTCAGCCTCCTAGAGTGCTAGAATTACAGGTGTGAGCCACCGAGCTGGGCTTGGAAAAGGATTTTGACACAATATTGCTGCAAAGAGGTGTTTAAAGGTCATCCTCTAGGCCAGGGATAAGAAGTAGCCTTCACCTTTTATGGCTTCACCTCCTTGGCATGGAGCATTATTTGAGGGGGGTCTGAGTTCAGGTCCGAGCTCTGATGAGGAGCACCTTCTCTGAGCCCTGGAGGGATTTAGAAACTTCAGGATTTAGATAAACTTCCCAGTAGCTGTTTGACCTGTGTGTGGCTTCAGAGAGAACCTCCTGTTGGGATACAATGTACTAAGAGCTGCAAAACCTAATCAGGTGACTCAGCCTGGGCTCTGGACCCTGACAGACTGATAATGAATCCTCTCTCTTCAGCAGTGTGACCTGAGGCAGTTGTCCTGACCTCTTGAAACCTCAGTTTGCTCAAAGTAGGGATAATAAGGTAACCCATATAAAACCTTTAACATGGTGCCTAGAATAATCAATGTTTAGTTGCTGCTAGCAATAACAATAATAATAATAATACTGTGTCACACATGGCTTAGATAAAAGTCAGGGGTCCACATGGCAGTGACCGTGTTCAGTTGTCTTTATGCCTGACACCTACTATGGACTGACATTGAAATGATATTTGCAGAGTTGAGCATCCATAAAACCTCAATATTTTCTCAATGAACCATATAATTTACATCTTATGTGCTGAAAGCATCCTGAACATTGTGAACATCCATTAACATTTGTGAATTTTAGACTCTACTCATCCTGGTGAGTAGAGTTGGTTTTGAAGCAGAGGGTCTGGGCAGAAATACATCCAAAGGAAGTTACGGTTAGGGTGTGTAAATGGTTGAAACCCTTCCCAGCCCTGAGAGGGTTCTGTCTTCACATGAGCCCTCAGTTCACGTGCTTTTCATTACAGAAGAACGTGATCCTGGAAGCCATCGGGAATGTACTCTGTCTACAAAGAGAAAATGGGAAGTTTGCTCAGGCCTTGAATGGTTCGGAGGCAATGACGCTTGATATTAATCAGATATGTCTACTCCAAAGCAACCGTCAAAACTGCAGATTTGGGAAGAATAGATCTTATAGGATCTGTGACTAATTCTTATTACAAATAAAGATCTGGAAAGAAATTAGGCAGGGAATAAAAGAGAACACTCTGATGTACTTTAGAGGAAAAGGAATTAGTTTTAACTCATCTGATTTTTCAAATGATTAGTTTGAGTTTTATAACTTCCATCTGATATCTCTCTATAGTTATGTTTTACTTCTAATATTTATCTACTTCTGAATTTTATATTACTGTGTTAAATTATATCCAAGGATTAATAATAATAATGGTAATGGGGAAGTTCCTTCCATATTAATAAATCTCCTCTGTGGGTAATCATTTGTGGCCTGCCCATAGAAAAACACAAGTCAGTGAAATTTGGGCAGGTGTCTCTAAGACATAACTGACCTACATCTTGAGAAGGAAATCAAGCAGGAGTGAAAATATGAGATTGTGAGGACCTGGGCTTCAGAGTGGAACAGGCTCTTTAATTTCTGATGGAGAAGTTAAGAAGTTGGAGCTTTGGAAAGGTTAACATTTGGTCTTAAGCACTAAGATGAGATGACATGCAATGGTGAACCTCAAGTGGGAAGGGAAACCTGGAGAGGAGAAGTATTTAAGAGGCAAGGACTGGACGGCAGAGTGAGCTGAAAACAGATCGGAGAGGGGAGTGGCCAAGCTGAGGGATGAGGGCAGGAAGTGGAGTCACGAGGGACAGAGCCAGTTTGACAGAGGAAATGCAAATGGAGTTTTGGCACAAGAAAGTGAAGGTATGGGCGTGGATGGTGCCCGCGAGGTTATGAAGACAGATAGAAGCTTGAAAGTAGGGCAGTGAGTGAATTGATCAAATCAAGATAAAGGTTTGCTAGTTAAAAAAAACAAAACCAAAAACAAAAAAACTTTAACTCTGTATCATTCTCCTAAATGTTTTAGTTAAAAAATTAGCCATAGGTGTTTTTTTTTAAACTATTATCATTTGTAAGGGCATACATTTTAGTGCCATTGTTTCAGAACTATTAAATCAGCTCTGTAACTATCTGAGGTGTTCTACCATCCTAGATGACTTCTGTATAGAAACACTTTCCCTCCTAAATCTCTAAAATTCACAAATGTTAAGGTCCACTCCAAGTTTTAGCTAACAGATTATTGATAGAATAGGTACAATATTCAGAAAACCAAAATGCCAGCAATTGGGGCCAGTAATTAATACTCGTAACTCAGGAGAGGTGGATTTCTTTCCTGCCTGCAAGCAACTCCCCTAAGATTTACGTAGCACTGTTGACGTTTATAGGAAACTTTGGCAGAGAGCAGCTCAGTATCTTGCCTGAAGACTCACAATTAAAAGAGTGAATGTGGACTGGGCGCAGTGGCTCAGCAGTTTGGAAGGTTGATGCAGGAGGATCTCTTGGGGGGGGAGCTTAAAACCAGCTTGGGCAACATAGCAAGACCAACTCTGCAAAAAATAAGAAAAAAATGAAATGGGCATTTTTGTGCCCATCTGTAATCCCGGCTATGTGGGAGGTTGAGGTGTCAGCCTGAGTGACAGAGTGAGAACCTGTCTCTAAAGAGAAAAAAAAAAAGGAATTAAGGTAAGTGTGAAGAAGTTCATGGTCAGCTGAAAATGGCAGAAAAAACCAAAACATTACAAGTTGAAAAATACATGTTAGGAAAATGTATTTGTAGTCATTAGATTAGGACTTTTATAGTTTTTGGCTAGGGCTGGGTTTGAACACACCACCTCTGGCATATGGGGCCGGTGCCCTACTCCTTTGAGCCACAGGTGCCACCCTAGATTAGGACTTTTAAACTTGGGACATTTTAGGAGCAAAATTTTGGCTGGAAAAAGTCGAGAAATAATATTGTGTTTTCTACTTTAAAATTAGCAGGCAAAAATATACAGTTCACCTCTTGAAAATCAACCGGTCAACAGTGCATTTGCCCCCAGGCCAGCAGTCATGAGGGAGGAAAGTGGCATGCCGCCTCCCTGGGATGCCCCCCTGCTGGAAAACGAGTTTTTCCAAGGTAAGTGTATGCATCAGTATTGCCTTTGGAACTCCTGGTGCAAAGGAAGCCAATAATAATTACAGTTTATGGTAGAGTGCTCGACACATATCAGTCCCTTTAGTTACTGTGTGTGCGTATGTGTTGAGTATACCAAGAAGAAGCCCTGTAGTTACTTTATGTGTGGGTGTGTGTGTTAAGTACACCAAGAAGGAGCCCTGTAGTTACTTTGTGTGTGTGTGTGTGTGTTAAGTACGCCAAGAAAGAGCCCTGTGGTTATTGTGTGTGTGTGTGTGTGTGTGTTAAGTACGCCAAGAAAGAGCCCTGTGGTTATTGTGTGTGTGTGTGTGTTAAGTACGCCAAGAAAGAGCCCTGTGGTTATTGTGTGTGTGTGTGTGTTAAGTACACCAAGAAAGAGCCCTGTGGTTACTTTGTGTGTGTGTGTGTGTGTTAAGTACATCAAGGAGCCCTGTGGTTACTTTTGAAGTCTCCTTCTTTACCTTATTTGAAGAGGATGCTGATATGTTATTAACACAGATATGAAGTAACCTCATGCTTAAATCTAATCTAATCAAAATTCTCAGATCAAGGACTAATAAATGCAATAGTAATAAATGGAA